AAAAAAAAAAATGACTATACACGATACCCATGAAAGTCTTAAACGGAGGAAATATGTTCCTCAGGGAAACGTTCCCATTTTTCCAGTTGTCCCTAGTTCTTCTTCCTGGCTCTGCCCTGTGGGCCTCGGCACCACCATCCATGGGGAAGTCCAGCTTGAGACATTTAGCCTGGCAGCAGCAGGCAGCTGAGGGTCACAGATGGCAGGAGGGCTCCAGGTGAAAGATGGTCCCCTTCAGTCTGGGAAAAACTTCTTTCCGCCTCCCCACTCAGATAGTTCAAGTGTAGCCTTTATGCTCCTTAAAGAGTTCCAACTCTTCTTAGCCTACAGGCTTTAGATAAGGGAAATTTACATTATCCCTTTACTCCCACATAACCATTTCCTGCAAAGGAAGTGAATAACGACAAGTAACTGGGAGGTCTTCACATGTGGAGCAGTGGGCTCCTAGCCATGACGGGGTGGAGGAAATGGAAAAGGACTGAGCAAGGACTCCTGGAGAGTGATAGGTTAAATGCTAGTCCTTGGGCTATAACCTTAGGAATTTGATTCGGGTCACGGAGATGACCTGATCGTTACACATAGCATACATGTAATGAAAAATCATACTGTATTCCATAATTATGTACAATTACTATATGTCAATCAAAATAAAAAATATTTTTAAAAAGATTGTAATTCAGGAGGTCTGAATTTAGGCCCAGAAATGTGCATTTTAACATGTGTGATTGTTAATTGTGATCTATGTCACCCTAACTTCAGTAAGAACTGCCTGTCTACCAAATTAGGAAAGTTCCGAGTGTGTCTGTGGATGATCGATGTGCAGGCCATAAAGCTGAGATAGAGAAAACCCACTCTGGATGTGGGTAGCACCAACCAATAGGCTGGTAGACTGGACTGAATAAAAAAGGGAAAAAAAGAAGGAAGTGTGCCCACTTTTGAGAGCTCTGGTCTTACTATTGCCTTTAGGGATGTTGGTCTCTCTCTTTTTTTAATCCCTTCTTCCTTCAACACAGACTATGCAAACTGTTCAGCCTTCCAACACAGACTTACCCAGGTGACTCCACAGGTGAGCATCCATCCAGGCCTTCACCCCTCCATTTTGGATTCTTCCAGCTCAGATCCCACAAAGAGCCAATGGTGATGTTTCTACTTCCAATTCTATAAGTACACCGAGTAAGTCCCTTTGTATAATTATATTTCAGATTGATTTTGCTTCTCTATATAACCCTAGCACAACAGTCCCCCCCGCCATGGTTCTGGTATAGGAGGTTCAAGACTGCACGTGATCCATAAAGAAACAGTGAGATACAAATGCTCTTCACTTTAGCATGGATGAATTTATGTTCTAATTAACTCTAGTGCAAGCCGAAAACATCGTAAGATGAACATGTATTTAGTTTCCCTAATCAACATCACAGCTTCATGACAGCGCAAGTGAGTTGTTTGTTCTCATGATCCTGCGGCTGACTGGGAGTTGGGCTATTGTGCCAGGAAAAGATAAAAATTCAAAATGTGAAGTACAGTTTACAATGGATATCTATCATTTTTGCAGCATCTTGGAATTGAAAAATCCTAAATTCAACAGCTACTGTTAAATTCAAGACCGACTACACCGTTCGAGGACCACCTCTGCAAATAAATTGCTTATTCTTTCCCATCTACCTCTTTTTTGGAACCCTCTAGCTTTGCAGCAGTCACTCTGCATTACTAAACAACTATCCTTTGCAGAGAACTTTACACCTGAGGCTTCTTGATGGTCTTGGGTTAGGTGTTAAGAGCTGGCGAGCAGTGAAGGGTGTGGCCACCTTAGAGAACCATTTCTCAACTTCCTAGAAAAATGACAAATTGAGCATTTCAAGACTTGTGAAACAGGTTAACTAAAACAATTGCGTTACCTACCCAGAATTACCATAACCTTTATGGAGTTCCAAGGCTTTCTGGATGGGAAAGTCGATTCTGTGCTGTGGCTCAAATTCTACCTTCCCTACTTACATTCAGTGTAACTCCTCTATGTCAGTTTCCTTGCTTGTGAAATAAATATGTAACACCGACCTCACTGAGTTGGTATAAGGATAAAATGAAGCGCTTAAGTATCTAGTTGACACAGACAGCTCTAAGAATATCGAATATCAGCTCTATTTCAGGTAAAGACCACAAAATCATCGGGAGCACATGAGGGTGTGATTGCACATTAGGGTGGTTAGTGTGGAACTCGGAGTGAAAGGAAAAAACCAGCAGAATTAAAGTGTATGTTTAATTTAATTGGTTCAAAAGAAGTATTAAAACTACAGGGGTCTGGCGTTTGCTTTGCAAGACTCTGTCCCTAGGCTACCGTCGGGAGTTTACCGCCACACTCGGT